TTGTAAAATAGTTTTTTTATATGTTGCACACCGGGTGAAGGATCAGTCGTGTAACATCGACGGTCGCTCCTGTAACCCGTAATATTAATATCGATATCGGTGATCGGAGTAACATGTCTCTTTCAAAATAGATTAGTGACGCAACCAAAGTTCAGTAGATTGGCCAAAATTATGGATCAGAGCGGGCCAGCATTGATAAATTTCACTCAAAATTTTACTAATGAAACCGTAATCACTAAGTAAAGCAGCCCAGGTGATAATTGGGAATGAACTAGAGAAGCAACCATTGGACGCGTCCTTTCAAACCACTCCTGTGTTCAAGTTTTTCTGTTGGTCGCGCTAGGAAAGATAAATATGTACGAAATAACGTCCCGGGACGTTATTTTAAGGCACGCAATTCAAAGAGAATAATTTAGCCGAATGCGAATTATAATATTTTTAAACATTTTCGGTTAAATCAACTTTTTAAATTGCATGCTTCTCTGGAACGTCATTTCACACAAAAATTAGATGATTAAGTCCCTAAGTCAAAGACTCTAGAACCTGGTCGTGAAACCTAGTTTACGAGGACTGAAGTTTTCGTCACATGATTAATTTTTCTGTGGCTCTGATTGGCTGGATAATACAATATAGTATCTTAGCGTTAATTTTTTGATTGGTTAGGACTAAATTCAATGAGTTGGATCAAGCCTAGGTCCTAAGGCTTTTTTACATTGGTCCTATAGTGTTCTCATGAAGTTCCAATTCGAATGTCCCAATAAGAATCTTATAAGCTTTATTATGGAATGCACATCGATTAGTCGAAATTGACCAATACATATAAATATGACATAACAAATACAAATTGAAATATGCAATGATATATTATATAATTATTTATATATAAAAAACAATTTATTTAATTTATTTCAGAAGTGCTTTTACAAGATAACCGTGCCCCATTATGAAAACCCACATATTACAATATATTATGCCGACAGAATCTGTTAAAATAGATATTAAAGCAGATTAGTCCCATTAGAAATTTGATTATTAGAAACTAATTAAGAAACATAGATTAATGATGCAAAAATATTACCATATTTCTCAACAAAGCATCATTATCTAGCTCAGCATACATAATACGGTTATATTCTTTACATTGACCGTTTACATTCTTCCAAGTCTTTAAAAGACCATATGCAATCATCTTAATGTTTCGAAGTGCTTCTTGATTATTCAAAGGTTCAAGTTTTTCAATAATAGAGTTGATTGCATCAATTTGCTCTTCCCAAAAAGTTATAAATTTACGGCAAGTTTTAATGATCGAGATTAGTTACTAGATAAATCATAGCTTACACATTAAATAAAATCGTTTCTCAAGTCAAACTTCACATAGTGTCAAGACTTGAG